CCCCCCCTCTCAATTTGTTTGACAGCACTGGCTACTGCAGGGAGGGTGCAGATTAGGTGTTGTGTCCCTATGGAGGACGCGATGGCAACTTGTGCAGGTCCTGGTAGAGGCTGGCCTGAGAAGGCTAACCATGCTAACCCTGGCCGCACAGGTCCAGGTGTCAGCTTGAACTAGGTTGGTTCAATCTATTTGGCAGTGGAAGGGCTGTGTTGACTGGTAAATGACCTGTGCCATGTTTTGCATAAACCACTTGCTGCATTAGCAACCTTCTCCATGCTGCGGAAGCACAGCTAATGCTTAGCACAGGGCACACATTGTGATCAAGGACACAGACTGGAGCCAATTCTTTTTATTAAAAACTTTGAGGTAAGTGAAATACTTCAGTACCAGCAAGAGCCGTATGTGTCCAGCAGTAACATCGCCCGGGTTCGGTGCTACCTGGGTGCACCTCTGTTCCCACCACACCATACAGCAGCTAGAGACAGAAAGCAAGACGGCCATGGACAGTCAACACTGCCCTAGGAGCTGCTGAAGAAGATCATCGTGGCTGTTAGCTGACTGCCTGTTGCCCTCACACACGGCTTTAAGTAAGACACTAGTATCAGGTCTGGCTTACAGGGGCTGTGGTACTTGGAACTGCTGAATGCCAGCTGCTCACCCTCCCCAGCTCACAGTTTGGGAGAGCCAGGAGGCAGGCGCGAGCCTTGCGGGTTTAATACTTCATCTGGAACAGGTGTCCAGCTCCTGGGTCACGGCATCCTAGCTCTACTAGCATGCCATCACTACCACTACAGTGCGCTGACTGCCACGTGTACACACCACCCTGGCCACTGCATTTTCAAGGTGGTGGGTGCTTGTTGGTAGGAAAGGGATGGAAACACATTTGAAAACAAGGCTCTTATTTTAATATCCTTGGCACTTGTGGAGCTGTGGGGTTTTCCTTCCCTGTGCTTCCCTGCCTGAGGGGTGTGGGTCTATTCAAAATGGCCATGGTACGTGCAGCTCTGCTGAGCAGCTGGAGCAACAGGCACATGCTGCAGTAGCACCAGCAGATGTGACCTCAGGCCTCCCCAAGCCCTTCACCTTAATGAAAGGTTCTCAAAGGCCCACTGTAACAGAAGCTGCCTGTGGTCTAGACTCACCTCTTCGTGACAAGTCAGGAGCCCTTCTGCACTGGTAGAGGTGTACAGCAGCAACCTCGATAACCTGGCCTCTGGGGAGGGCAGGAGAGGCTGGGCAGAGTACTGCCTACCATCTCATGCTTGTATCCTTTTACTTCTAAGCAGGAATTAGGGTTATAAAAGAAAACCAGGCCCTGCCAGCTGCGCCTTTGTCGCCTGCACCATCAGGCAAAGGCTGTCATGCTTGCTGGCACTACGAGGGGTGAATTTGTGAAACACACATCATCTGAGTTTTTAAAAACTGCAGCTAGAGAAACAAGTCTTCTCCACATGCCTGCTTCTGCCAGCAAAGGGGTGCAACATATTCAGTACGTGAGAAGAATTCACATCGCTAATTTGCTTTGCAATGTTGCCATGAAGCAGTTTCACATTGATTTGCCTCTGCTGGCCTGGCTGGCTTGTACTGCTTGGGTTTCACTACTGCAGTTTTCAGTCGCAATTAGGACCTAGTGACACCAGCCATCAGAGAGTCAGACTCCTGCCCAGCACTGTGAAGAAGATGTAGTTAATGACAGAGATACAGAGTAGAGACTGGGAAGCAACAACTACCTTGAATGGAAATGATGATGACGATACTGAATATGCATGAAAGGTTGCAAGGAAAGTTATCTTATTGTTCAAGCAGCAGTTGTAGTCCCTGTTCCCAGCACCACAGCATCAGCCTGAAACACTCACCTTTTCGATCCTAATGAAACATCTAATTAGAACATAATTAACACTCAGTTAAATGAATTAAACAGAGTTTTCCTTTAGTGACTCTGGCCCAGCCAGTGACACAACCCTACTGCTGTATTTAAATCCATCTCCAAGCCTTTACTGGGAAGTTTTTGTGCGGCTGACATACCATGCCAGTGTAGCAGCTAATACTTATATGTCACCATTAATTTGTTAAAGCAGACATCCAAAAGGAAAATGATCTTTAAAAAAAACCCAAATCACTGTTGCTAGTTGTGAAGGAACCCACTGGCCATGGGTGGAGGCTTCCCTCCCGTGACGTAGTGAATACAGCAGCTAACAAAAAAGGCTGATTTGTGATTCCTTTCCCTCCTTCTAAAAGGGTGAAAAATTGCTTTGTTCACACGGTTGATTGAGCAGCTGTTTTTTTTCATTTAAAAACATTGGTTTCAGTAACAAAAAAGTACAAAAAAGTTAGCGAGGTGGTTTTAATTTCAGTACATCTGAAACTAACTACTGCCACCTTCCCCCATGCCACGGAATGAGCCTTTCTGTCTCTCTCATCCAGGGAAAACTAACAAGTACCAACACGACCATAGCTACAGCTTCTAAATGTGCCGACAGAGTATCAATGCCGCTCTATACACAAGTGAGGATGTGATAGGTGGGGGGTCAGCCTTTAAGACAGAAAAAGCTACCATTTGCTATGGATTTAGCATCCAATTTCTGGGTGCAGCTAAAGCAACAATTATAATCTACAGCATTTTCATTCTGCGGGAAACCAGCAGAATCTCTGTTCCAACTCAAGACAGGCTGAAAGCCCTGGTCAGAACAATACTTATATGACAGGGGTTGTTGGAGGCCGAGCACACAAGACAGCTGTGCGTGTTTGAAGTGGAAAACGTAGCCAGCAGCAGCAAGGAGGGAAGATGCCAGGAGTCACTGGGTGTCTCCACTCCTTGGGAGGGTAAGAAAACTACCATGAGTGCCATTTTTCCATTTCTTCCTACGGGGAATCAACCAACGTTTGAGCTGCACTTGGAGGAACAGCCAGCCCTGACCGATACCATTGGCACGTACAAAGCCACCACCTTTGTCCCACCTCCCCCAGACTGGGCGAACAAAGGCGAGTTGGCAGGGGCAGAGCTGAGAGCGTGTTAAGACCTCACGGTACCGGGGTACCCTTCATAGTCTGTGTAGTGCTTTTGCGTGGCAGCCGAGCAGCCAGCTGACACTTTGGTCCAGTCACACGGTGTTAAATAAATAAGGTACAGTTAAGACAGCTAGGACCTGGCTCCTGGAACTTGCTTTGAGACGGTTTCCTTGTGTCTTTGCAGCCAGTCTGATTTTCAAATATAAAAGTGTTGTTGCTGTAGCATTTCCCTTTGCTTCCTCTTCTCAGTACAGCGTTGAGCAAAGGGGAACTCGCAGCTTTTTCCACTGTACGGGGGGGAAAAGGAGAGTGGGAGACGAATCCTCTTACGTCGAAGGAGGCGAGTCCATTGTTGAAAGAATCCGCACGATCTCGGCTCGCTGGGTCGGTGATATATGCTGGGTCATGTGAACGATGGAATCCATGGCAACCTCAGGATTGGCCTGTACCAAACTGGAAAAAGGCGAGAGAATGAGTGCCAGCAGCTAACATACCCCAATCGCTTCCTCCTCCTCCAGCTCATGTTGTAATAAGGCTGCCTGCAGCTTGCTACCTTTCCTTGGCCAGCCCGCAGTTCGTACCAAACGGAGCCATTTAAGGACCGTTTGAACATACGGGATCTCTGAAAGCCAGGTCAGCAAAGGCTCCAGTGAGCCGAAATGCATAAAGAGGCACCAGGCTCATGCAACCCAGTTGCCTGCTCTCAGCAGTTCATCATTCTTGCAGGAAGAAAGTAGGAGCCATCATGCTCAAGGGGTATCTTCTCTTTTCCAGAAGCACCACACACCTATCTCCTGTGGTGCACAGACTTTACAGAGGTGCCTGGAAAACTTGCAAAGCACAAGACCTACAAAGCGCAGCAACCCAGTGACATGCACTCCCTGCTCCCCGCTTTCTGTCTGCTTTGGGAACAGGTGGCCTGCGACCCGATTGTTTTAGCTTTGCATGTGGAAAAGAATGCACCTCACAATAGAGACATCCGCTTGTTTAGAATTTAACATCTCCCTTAAGTGCTCTGAGCTGGCTAATCTGCTTCCCTCACCCAGAATAGGAGACACACAAGCAAGATCTTTTGAAACGGTTCTGACTCAGAGCTAGGGACTTTTTAATTAAAGAAATAGTTCAGCCTCCCCAGAGACCCTTGGCACCTGTATGGAGAGGGGCCCGAGTGACCAAGCTATCTGCAAACTTCCTGGCACTGCCAGTGCTTCTACCACCACCTCAAGGGTCAGCAGGAGTGGTGGATTTCATGGGGGAAAACCCTAAGGGTAGCCACAGCCTTTGAAAACACAGGGAGCTTTTCCACTTCCCGCAGTGGGGCAGATGCTGCACTGGAGCTTGCTTACCTCCGTATCTGCTTGAGGATGTAATCTCTGGAGATGTATTTGATGTTTTCCTCCACGACCGAGCGAACGCCTTCTTCTTCTGTGAGCTGTTTCTCCAGCCACTCCACCAGGTCCTTGTTGTTATCCCACAAGTACGCCTGCAAACAAACAGCAAGTGTCACGAACCGGCTCCAGCCCGCACCCGAGGTCCCGGGGAACTTCCACTGTGATTGCACTACCCTGTTCCCAGCGCTACCATTCCTGAAATTTAATTAGCAATTACTGGCAACCCTGGGTAAAATATTAGGCTGAAGACCCTCTGTGATTTCCTGGCGCAGTTAGCTTTTATGGATGCAAAAGGCAAGTAACAATTAGCAGGAGTCAGAGGATGATGTATTTGTTCTGCATCTCCTTCCTTAAATGTGATTAAATGGAAACCAGGGAGGCAGCAGCTCCGTCGTTTGAAATGCTTGGCAATGTGAGTTACTTACTCTAGGCAGGTGTTTTGGTTGTGGGAGAAGGGGCCTCTCCTGTCTCAGGGGTGACAGGGACCAGCTGCACAAATCCTTCCCAAGCTTTTCAGCCCCCTGCATTTAGGGCTGGGACTTCTCCTTCCGAGCCTTTCTAAGGGGATGGCGGATGCAACTGAGCTCCAGGTGGCACCAGCCTGCCTGGCCTTCTGGTTTGAAGTCAGACGGGGCCCCTGAGTGCAGGGAGGGCAAAGGCTGTTTTGCCATTAGAGGCTCTAGATTTCACCCTCAGAAAAGCGGGGGTCTCGTCCCATCGGTTAGAGCAAGGCACAGCATCACTAGATGCCCTTCAGAGCTGACTGGCTCTGCTGCCTACGTTCCAGCACACGCCTACCCGACCAGAGCAGGGACAGGCTCTGCAATCCCGGAGAAAGCTGCCCAGAGTGACAGGGACCTTACGAGGCTCGCTCCAGTGCAAACGCCAGGTGCACAGAGACAGCTCTCACAGAAATATGGTGACTCAAACACCTGTCCATTGCAGTCTTGCAAGACGTGCACCCCCCGTGCATCACCTCTGTAATCACAGCCCCATGCTCCAGCCATTGTATTCTTTGATGCTTTTACACAAGGGCCACCTCAGGCAGATTCAGTGCTTACAAAGCCGAAGTCCCTCACTGCTCACCCACCCACCAGATCTGAGGTGCAGCTGCACTGGCTTCCGAGCAGCGAGCCACACTTTAAATCATCGGCTTGCATTCTGCCACATGTCAAATGCCAGTGCCATTGCTTGCTTCCTGCTGTAAGAGCTGCTCAGCTGTGTTAAAACAGCCCACCCCAGAGTGCGATTCTTCCATTTCAGCTCGTTTGCAAAAACCTTACGGCCGTGGAATCTGCAAACCTGTGGGATGCAGACTCCTAACTCAGTCCCATGGAAAGAGAGAGACTCACAGCAACGGGAGGCACAGTTATCTGAGGGCTTCTCAGGGAAAGATCCACCAAACCAGACCACTGAGCCACAATGGGACATACCTAGAAACTGAAGCGATGTCAGTGCACCAGTGTCACTCTTCTAGTCCTTGAGCCCATCACCAGCCAAGAAACCTAACCCCCATTTTAGCAGATCTGAGCACAACCGTGGAGGTCAAAGCGCCTACGACCAGGAAAAGCCGCAGCAACAACCCATTTTTTTCTGTTGCAAGATCGTTTAGCCCGATACTTGCTAGGTAGTTGACTACATAATAATTCAGGAGTGTGTTAGAAGCCTAATAGCCTTCTCGCTCCTCTCTTCTCCTCTCATTTTCTTTACAAATCATTTAAGAATCGTTTTGTTAATGGTTTCCGGAAAACCAAGTACCACCATTAGTGCTCATTCATATTTATGTCATTTTATTTGGGTAATTAAACACAAAGCTCGTCATTTAAAGGTGCACTATCCTTCTCTGTTATCACTAACGAAGTCAAAGTCAGAATGACAATGAGCTCAGCACGGTAATTTAATAGGTGGGTGCATTAAAAAACCCTCTGTGGCCATGGGGTTGGAAACAGCCCTGCCTCTCACTTGAATGCAGCCTGCATGCAACCAGCTAAGCAGGGTGGCTGCTTACCTAACCGCCATCAAGATCAACAGCCCCGTCACAACAAAACCAGCCCAGAACTGCTGGGACGCTCATGGATAAATCTGTCCCAAGACATATGAAACCGGCACCAGAAGGCCATCTGCTCCTCTTCGTTCATGCCTTTCAATTCCTGCTTGCTTGACTCAAGGAGCTGGGAAGATGTGTTATACATGTACGTGTTGTCGCCTAAAGGGAAGTCTTGCGTGCTCCCCGGTGTGCTGGACTGGTGGATACAGTCAGATCTGCCCAGAACCTGGAGCTCCTTGGAGCAGCAGCACTAGAGGCAGCAAAGTCTGAGACCCTCGAGGGCTTGCCCTCCATTCCCTACCACTCAGGCCAGCTGGGATTTGAAACCTGGCCCATTCTTACATACAGTTTACCCTTGGCAGAAAGCTGCTTCCTTGCCTGTTCATACCAGTCGAGTGAGACACGAGTACGTTCAGCTGCAAGCATGGCAACCCGATGGACGAACCGCACATCTGAGCCTGAACCCCACGTCTGCTGCCACAACCCAAGGAACTCGCTGGGAGTCTTTCCTCCCCCATGACCCACAGCAGATGCTCCTTCCCTGTGCTCACAAAAGTAACTGCCCCCACAACACCCAACGCACCTACTTGCCACCCAACTCCTACAAACCACTGGTGGTTGACAGTGTCACTTGGATGCAGTCCAGTTTCCACATGCAACCCACCAACAGGAAGCCAGAGTCTCGCAGTGCCCACGGACAGCCCACAGTAAGGGAGCTGGGCTGGGCGAAGGGGGAAGCAAGTTACTAACTAGAAAGTGGGACAGACTTTGAATTATGAAAAGCTTTACCAGGCTCGGTACCTGGCTGAGCTCAGGGCCTTTACACAAACAAACAGGGAGATCTAGCTCTCCAGTTGTCTGCCAACAGGGACTGTGCTTAGACTTTGTGATTTTCCTTATTATTACTATTGTTATTTTCAAACTCCCTAGTTACTGCTCCCTGCCTCTGCCCCTAGACTAGACAGAAGTGCCCCCCTGCATACAAAAGAGGGCACTTATGAAGATTTCAGTAAAGGGGAAGAAGAAAAAAAAAAGCTCAGTAAATCCCTTCCAGTTTGCAGACCTGCGTAAAGCTCGATTTACCCGAGAATCCCAAAGCTTTTAGTTTAGGAGAATATTTAATACTCTTATTAATCATTTTTAATCCGTTTGCTTTTAATTAAGAAACAGCATGATGCTTCCCTATCAACATATGCCAGGGAGCAGATTAATTGTGGCTTAAGATAACTCTCCCTGATTGGTGTAATGTATTAGCTAACGAGATGCCCACTTTTAAAGATGCTCAGACACTACCTTAGAAAGCCTGCTGCCCTCCAGAGAACGCTCTCCCCCGCCTCCTCCCCTTCCAGAGCCCCAGTGCTGGAGATTTTAAAAATAAAATAACACAAATCGGAGGGTTGTAACAAAACCATCCTACCGGCAGCTTCAGAGATTGTTCTTCAAAGATCGCCAGCTTCCCACTTCAAGCATGATTGAAAAAAGGGAAAGAAAAGAAACCACAGAAACCGACAACAAAATGATCAGATGAAAGACGGCACCAGCTCAACTGCTGGAAACCCCACGGACCCGGGCAAGGGGCATTCGGTGCCAAGTTCTGCACGAAGGAACAGCAATCAGATGATGATGCACCAACACCTGGTGGGTGGTTTAATGCAGATGTTCAGACCCAAAACGCAACACGGTCATTGTGCTCACCGCTCTCTCGTCTTTAGCCGTCTGCTCAGGGGGCCCAGTAGCAGAGAGTGAGCCGGACACACGACTGCCCTGCTTGCCTGGTCTGTGAGTGGTAAGATGACCTAAGCTGGGGATGGGTGTCATCTTGGTACAGCGCACGCCTGCAAAATGCCAGCCACCCTGCATGGTTGGCGCCATCCCAATGCCTCTGGCTTAGCGCATGGTTTAAGGACACGAGTCAATGTGAAAACAAACCTACATTTAGCTTCTGTATCCCGGAGGTTCAGAAGGGGCCTTGGGGGACTGTCGTGCGTGCCCAGAAGTGCTCTTCCTTAGCGCTCTTGTGAGTGCCAAACACCACGTGCCATACAACCAGCTGGAGGTTGGAGTGCTCAGATGCTACCACTGGGTTGGGGTGCTGCGCTCCAGGGTTTAAGCATGACGGCCATGTCTACCCTGGGCAGCAAGCTAGATGAATGATGCCATGTAGCCAGCGAGTGCTGTCACTGCTCAAGATTTCGTAAGATCTGCCTCAAAACCACCAAAACAACAATTACTAAAAACCATCAGAGGTTTTACAGCCATGTAACAGCCTTGGATGGTCTCCAGTCCAACCGCATCTCATCAGTGAGGTTCATGGAGTTGGTCGGGAGGAGCTCAGAAGACCTGGGTTTGGTTCCTGGCTCCACCAGAGCTTTCCCATGTAGCCTTGAGGGCTTCATGTCATCCACTCACGGGCACCTCTTGGGCTTTTAGCTGGGCAGTTTTATTGTGAGCAAAACCTAGCCCTGCTGTCCAGGGCCACCTCTTGGCTCCATTGGTGGGCTGGGCCAGGGAGGATGCGTTTCAAGCACCTCTCACATGGCCTAAGGCAGGAAGCAGAAAGGTTTTCTGAGCGCAGCACAGGCCCCTCTAATTGCTCCAGCTCTCCCCATGTTTTGAAGTTACAGTACTGACTACTTATTTCCAGCCCCTTCCTAAATCTCCACATCCAAACAGCAGACAATAACTCTGCACTGTCTGCAAGCCGGCAGCTCCAGCAGTATCAAATACAATCCCATAACTCAAGATAAGTGACTTCTCCAAGGGAAACAAAAGAATTACATCACTCACTTATACTGTCGCTATGTCTCAAATGCCGCTGGCATTTCCTTTGCTTTTTGGGGGGAGGGGGAAGAAGAAAGGCAACAATGACACTGCCCAAGTGTGGGAGGGAAAACTGCTTTTCCAGAGAAGAAGGGAACATGTATGAGCATTTCTGCATTGGTAAGGGGTGCTGGGAAAGTCCTGCACAGGAATGGACAAACTACCGATAAAGGCTTCCACTCTCTAAAGCAAAACCGCCGGGGCACACCCAGGTTCCTCTCTGCT